CTGAGTTGATACCTCTGACTCTTGTTACCACCAAGGGCCATGAGGATGACAGGGATCTGGTCACCCAACTGAGACCATGTTAGTGTCTGAGGACCATTCTGATGCTGGGGCCATACTGATCTGGGTGGCCTGTGCTGCCACTGGGGCCATGGTGATGACTAGGCTGGAGCTGCTGCCAAGAGCCATATCTGGACCCCTGGTCCTACTGCAGCTGGAATCTGTGATGATGTCCGTGGCCAGTGTCAGCACAGGGTGGTCATTGGAACCATGTTTTGCTAAGCCAGCCCCACCCTTCGATGGCCCTGGGATAGCCAATCCTGCACGTCACTGTACACTGCAGTAGGGGATCTGGCCCCCACACTCAGGAAAGATGGCCCCATCCCTCATCATAAGCATGAAACCCACCTGGGCAGCATACTAGAGCTGACTCTGAGGTCAGGGACAGGTGAGCAAACCTTGAGGCTATGAGGGCAAAAGCTCTGACCACATCCTCGCCTGCCACGTGGTACCATAGATGAGAGAAAGATGCCTCCCATTACCCATTACCACCTGCAGCAGGTGAGAGCGCTAACCCCAGGGTCATGAGAATGGCAGAGCTAGCCCTGACCCTCACCAGCAGCAGCACACAGGATACTGGTCCTCCTGCATCCTGCCTGGGCAGCACACTAGAGCTCGCTTTGTTATTGGGGTGCAGGTGAGAGCAGGAGAGCTGACCCTGCCCCCCTCCTTGTATGTCCCCTACAGCAATCAGGAGAGAGGGCCCTGTACCTCACCTGAGCAAAACAATAGAGCTGGCCCCTGGTGGTATAAGTGCAGGTAGCCCAGATGTGAGGACCTGTGAACCAGCCCTTCTTCTTGGTGTAGACTGTGTTGGGTGAGCTAGCCAAGGCAGTGCTGGAGGGCTCACCCAGGAAGTGATGATAAGGGAAAGCTGGTGGGCTGACCAACCCAGTGACCACCCAGGCCCAGAACCAGGGCTATGAGTTAGCCCACCCCAACATTCACCTCATCTATGAACTGTTGGAGCATGTAAAGGGAACAAACCTACAGATCCAAAATTGCAAGATCTCCATGACACAGGACAACAACAGGCTATCCAAGAGGAGTCCCAGTAGTATAGCAGAAGCCAGAGACCTTGAGCCAGACCAATGACTCATGGCAGTGAACACTTGCAAGTAAAGATGAATGGACTAAATGGTAAACTGTGTGACTCGATGGGCCAAACTATAGCTTCCGCTATGAGATTCTTCTTTCTGTTTATTGTTTGTTTGTTTGGTTGGTTGGTTGGTTTGGTTGTTTGGTTTTTGGGTTTTCTTTTAAAAATTGTTGGGGGTGGGGGAAGTTGCAAGGGCAGAGGGTGAATGCAAGGGGACAAGGAGCTAAGCAGAGTCAGAATGCATGATATGAAATCCACAAAGAATCAATTAAAGTTAAAAGAATTAAAACAAAAAAAAAGAATTTCATGCAATATATTTTAAGCATCTTTACCTCCAAATTATGCCCTCACTACCCTCTCCAATCGTCATTTGTTCCTCCTCATTGTTGAGTAACATTTGATTCCATGAATATACCACAATTTGTGGGAGAAAAAAGAAAGCATCACCTCTAAATGGGTGAAATAAATACAAGAACCAATAACTGATACCAGACAGAAATTTATGAGCTTCCCACAAAAAAAATACAAAATAATTGTCTTCTAAAAAAATTCACTGGGCTACTGGAACCCATAGACAACTACATGGAATCAGAGAAACAACGCATACACCAAAAGAGAAGCTCAACAAAGGGGTATAAACCATTGAAAAGAACCCTAGAACTAAAGAATAAAATAGCTGAAATTAAAAGTTCCATATTTAGCTTCAGGAATATATTCTATCAAAGATGAGGGTCAATGACTTTGAAAACAAAACAGTCTGAAATTTCTCAGAATATAGAAAAAATGAAAATAAGTGGAAAAGAACCTACAGACATTACAGGAAACCAATAAGACAAACCAAAAATCATATTGTAGCATCCAAAGAAAGCAGAAAATACAAAGGTTGTTTAGATAAGTTATGGCAGAAAACTTCCCAGCTCCAGAAAGGGAAATGAACATACAGATCCATGAAGACAGACGATGTCAAATATTAAATATGAAGAGATCCTCACCAAGACACAGCGTAGTCCAATTCTCAAAAAAGAGAATTCTGAAAACAAGAGAAAAGTGACTTGTAACATACAAGGGGACCCTTATGAGATTTCTCAGAAGACACCTTGTAGGCCAAGAGTGAGAAATGATACATGCAAAGAAAACCACCAGTCCAGAATAATATTATCTGACAAAATTTTGTCTTTCAGGAACTGTGATGGTATTCTTGGTTGTCAACGTGACTACATCTGGAATTAACTAAAACTCAAATGATGGGGCATACCTGTGAGGACTTTTGTCTTAATTAAATCATTTGAAGTGGGAAGACCAAACCCTAGGAGTTAGAGATCAACCTTTAAGTCAGATCTTTTAAGGTGGGATGACCCGCCTCTAGTCTGGGCCACATCTTCTGCTGGCACCCTATATAAAGGACATGGAAGAAGAAAGCTTGCTCAATCTTTGCCTGCTTGTTGTCACTCTTCCTAGCAAGTCCATTCCTTCACTGGCATCAGAGCCTACTTCTTCAAGATTCCAGAGTATACTAAAGACCAGTGAGACATTCAGCCTTGTGGACTGAATAACTACCGACTTCTTGGACCTTTAGTTCAAAGCAGCCATTGTTGGATTAACTCGGCCACAGCCTTTAAACCAGTCTAGTGAACTCTTTCTATACATAGAAACTCATTCTATAAATTCTGTTCCTCTAAAAAAACCTAATACAGAAATTAATAAAGACTTTGGTAAATAAAGTCTTCACGAATTCATTATCAATCACAAAACCTGCCTTTTAAGAGATGCTAAAGAGAAGTTTTCAAGCTGAAAGCAAAAGGACAGTATAAAAATATTAGCTGGGCATGGTTTAATACCAGAACTCAGGAAGCAGAGGCAGGCAAATCTCTGTGAGTTCGAAGTCAGCATAGTCTACATAGAGGGTTCCAGGACAGCCAAAGCTACATAGTAAAACTGTCCCAAAATAAATATGAAAATATAAAACTTGTTGTAAAGAAAAACACAGGGGTGTTATTCCTTTGTGCACAGAGGTCTTGTGGCGCCCCATGAGAAGGAAAGAGCTATTGGTACAAAACACAGTATAATTTTGAAAACTCTATTCTAAAGAAGTCCTGACATCACTCAGTAACTTAAATTATTTGACAACTGCTTTAGATTCTACAATTAATCTCACCTCTGCATAAATTACGAGGATTATTAACATTTCTTGTTTTGATATCTTAGGTAATAAATGCAATTCAAAATTACAGCAGCTATGGTTGCAATGTTGATGGGAGCCTAAGTGGCTGCACAGAGATTTTTTTTGGGGGTGGGGGTTGGCAGGGTATGAGGGAGATAAGCGAGGCTGGGGCTGGGAGTAATTAAAATAGGTTACATATGTGCATGACATTTTCAAGGGACAATTTCAATTAATAACAACTTTTATAATACAAAGTCTATATGTTTCAAAGAGTAAATATGAGAAACTAAGTTGCTATTAATAGACTCACACTACACATCTTCTAAAATCAGCCTTTATTTTATTCAACATTAAGCAGCTGAAATCTAGCTGAATAAACCATCTCTATGGTGTGTTCATTTAGCTGCTGTATCGTACTAATTCACCCACTAATTTATCATTTGGTTTGGATTTTTAGTTTTATTTTTTTCAATTAGGATACAAAGTAGCGGGCTTCCTTCCTGCTCTTTTATATATTGTGGGGGGCTCTCCCTCCCTCCCCAGCCCTGTCTCCCCCTTCTGCTAGTTCCCTTTTGCCCCAGCCAGTACCCCCTCTCTCCTTTCATGTCACGTTCTCTTCCCTTCTTAAAACCTCTTTTCCCCTCTCATGCCTCTTTCTAGAGCGACGACCTGTGCCTACCCTCACTCCCACGTAACTGCATGTACATAAAAATTCAAAGCTAGGTGCTCCAAATGAAAGAGAACATGAAGCATTTGTCTTTCTGTGCCAAGGTTCATTCACAATATAATATTTTCAAATTCCATTCTTTTTCCTACCGAGTTTTTTTTAATTTGGTTTTTTGTTTTGTTTGTTTTAAGATAGGCTCTTACTGTGTAGTTCCTTGAACTTGTGGCAATCCACTGGCTTCTGCCTCCCAACTGCTGCAGCTAAAGGTATGTACCACCATGCCCACTTTTCCTGCAAAGTACTTAATTCTGTTTTTCTTTATGGCTCAATAGAATCCAATTATGTGCATTAGCATACTTTCATTATCCGCTCATTCATCTGTTGATGGAGGTATTGATGGGAAGTAGGCAAGTTCTATTTCCTTGCTGTTGTATAGATCTTCTTCAAACACCTGTCTCAAGCACTGTTCAATCCCAACTCTCTGCCTCATTCATACCCGAGATAGTGTCTCCCATCCTCTCATTTGACTGAACAATTACCAGGTGGCTGCTGCGCTGGACCCTTCAGTGCCCTCTCTCTCTGGGGACCTGCGCATCTGCTCACCTGTGATTTTCCACTTGTTATGCTCTGCCACTGGGCACCTTTCCTCTCCTTGCTACACTCCCCGGTTGACCTTGTTGCTATGGCACAGCTCACATTCATTAATGTAAACAGTCCAAGCTCTCCAAGTGATCTCACCTTGCCTCTCGGGCTGCAATCCGAGTGCTTCCAAGGGTTTTGAGAAAGTCGTGACATTGCTGATGAATGTTTTTAGAAATGCTTCCAGTGGATTAGTAGGGCCTGACTAAAGCAAGTGAAGGATCCTCAAGCCACATATGGCCCGACTGTGAAAAAAGGATCTCTACCCACTAGAAATGTCAAGACACAGAAGGCAGAGTGGTAACCCACTTAAAACTTAATTCAGCTCTCAGTTTTGACTTAGAGAAACTGAGGCAAGGTTGAATTCCTCCACTCACCCACAGCTGCTCAGGGCATGTCCTCTTAGCCATTTCACTCTGCAGCTGATTTTTCTTCACTGTGGTGGCATGGCTGAGGATGTCACGGCAGAGTCTACAGTGGAGTCTAATTGACGCGGTGTGTCTGGGCATAGAACTTTCCCTGGAACACCAGAAAGACTAATAAGAAACGGTCCCTGCCCTTGAGAAGCCCACACTCTAGCAATCTTGGCATTAATAAAACCAAGAATAAAGGCTACCACAGCTGAATGCCTGGGGTGGTCCTGAAAAACACAGAGGCTGGTGCTGAACTTGATTGGTGAGGTCAGAAGGGTGACATTCAGTCTGTGCAAAATCCGTCCTGCTTTGTTTATGCATCTACTCCAAGAGTAGAATAAGAAAATGTTCTATTTTTAACTCTATTTATTCATATCATTCCATAAATATTTACTTGAATATTTGCTGAGTTCTCTCCTCATATCAGATTCCGGGTGGCAAAAGCCAGTGGAGAATGACTAGGGGAAAAGCCACTCTGGCGGGGGGGTGGGGACACTCTAGGACAGCCTCAAAGATGATAGGCACTGTGCAAAGCAAAGCCAATAATGAAAAAAATCTAAAGGCTGGAAAATGTGATTCACATTCACATTCGACTCTGACAATTGCACACATCCTTCTCTTGCTTCCAGAGCCTGCTTTGGGAGGGAATAAATACGTCTATCATTCTTATCTGGGTGCAAATTTAAATTTCAACACATAACTCTCTGAGGTCATTGTGGTTTAATTTTTATGAAAACAATCTTTTAATATAGACAAGATATTTTCAGAGCTTTGGATGCAGCCCAATGACTGGTCCGGCACATGCAAGGTGTTGGGTTCAGCACAAGACAGGGGGGGGGCGCGGGGGAGAGACGATACCCTCATATTATAGGAAATATGGATATCTATGAAGGGAAATGAATTGTGTGATGCTGCACCTGCCCTCCCTGGACCCCACACCCACAGTTCAGTGAGCACAGATTGTCCTCCACCTCCAAGCCACCACTACAGAAGTGTGTCTCCTGGGTTGGCCCCCTCTGTGTAGGAGCAGCCAGACCATGTGTCTCACCTTGGTCCTTCGTGCCCAGGGTGTCTCTAATGTTGAAGTTGGGGCAGCCACTCACATCTGCTCTTCTCTCAGCACATGTGGCCCGGAAATGCAGCAGAGACCATCTTGACCCAGCAGGAGGCAAGGAAGATAGTGGCCTAACGCTTCTGTCTTTGGTCCTTCGGGCAGACACCCCACAGAGTGCCTCAGAACCCCATGCACAGTAAAGCAACTGTAGCAGCCAGCAGTTCAATAGCTCATCTTGGCTGGACTGCCCTCCTGAAACCCATCTCTCTGGGATGGCATTCCTGCGAGCTTCAATGACAAGCCTGTGTCTCAGCGCCTAGTTTCTGGGTAACTGGAGCTTAGACTATCAGGATCTATTATGTTATTCTTTCTTTTAAAAATCCTTCTGATGAGTTTTAAAAAAAGGTCTCAATGTTTTCCAATAATCTAAAATTCTGAAATTTGACAGGAAGCCACAGATATGACTGTCTCTTCTTTCTGGAAGCAGTCACTTCAAGTTAGTGAGTCAAAGAATTAGTACTGATGTCAAATATGTGTGTTTCCTCTTCAGAAATTGTTTCCTGCAAAAGCTTTTTTTTGTTTGTTTTTGGTTGTTGTTGTTTCAGAGGGTTTTTTTTGTTTTTTTGTTTTTTGTTTTTTGTTTTATTTTTTTGAGACAGGGTTTCTCTGTATAATGGCCCTTGCTATGCTGGAACTCACTCTGTAGACCAGATTGGCCTCGAACTCACAGAGATCCCCCTACCTCTGCCTTTTGAGTACTGGGATTAAAGGTGTGGGACACCAATGGCCAGCTCAAAAGTTCTTTTTGCATCTTATTTCTTGGATTTTCTGGTTGCACATCTGCCTGGCAAGAATGCCTGGGTCACTGATGCTGTTTTCATTTTCATATTTTGTTTCTCTTATGTCTAAAGTACAAAAGAGATCTGCCCCATGGCACCGTGAACCATGACTACCGGAGGACAGTGTTAATAAAGTCACTTCCACAGCTTGTAAAGGGACCATACTTCACTGAATATCAGCCACCTGCTCAGGTACACGTTGGTCTGAGCAGAGAGAATGCTTACAGAAGGTTCTGGCTAACTCTTCTACAGAGATACCCAGCCTGGCCAGGTGGTGCTGGCCGCCTAGTGAGGTAAGAATGTGCTGTGCTGTTCTAACGTGTGCCTTCCTTGTTTAACCCCTGCATGTTGTTGGTACTGTAAGTCTAACTCAGACATCTAAGGAAGATTCAGCATGTGATTCATCTCACTTTCTGATTTTGAGGTTCTTATTATCATTTATTTGGATGTTTAGATGGTTGGTTGGCCAGTTGGTTGGCTGGTTTTAAAACAGGGTTTCACTGTGTATCCCTGGATGACCTGGGACTGCTACATAGATGAGGCTGGCCTCAAACTCACAGAGATCTTCCTGCCTTTGCCCCTTGAATGCTGGGATTGAAGGTGTGTGCCACCATGTGCAGCCTCATCTAGCTTTTTGAATGCTGGGATTGAAGGTTTATGCCGTCACACCCTGCCTCATCTAGCTTTTCAAAGCATGGTTCAATTTTCAGACCTGAGATTGGCTGACATCTTAGAATCTATTGAGGGTCAGTTTCCTGTGCAGTTCACTTATAAAACGCAATACAAGTGGGAAAGGGCGGGCAACTCAGTTAGTGACAGATAGAGTTGGAGAATGAGGTACCTTGACCGTGGTACCTGATTGAGCAGTGTGAACCAGACATCACCCTGCTGCATAAGCCCTTTGATTGGCTTCTTACCTGTGACTGCCAGGAGGCTAAGTTCTTCGGCCTTCTTGAGATCCCAGGATCACCTCTTGTGGAAACTGCTTACACTGGAAAGTCTTGCAGATTTTATTAGACATATTCATTACATAGAATAACGGGCTTCATTATGACATTTTCATATATATATATACAAATGCACTTGAGCATAACCCTTCTCATCTCCTCTCCCCACCACTGCTGGCTATGTCTTTTTCTTCTGCTTCTTTTTAAATTGAAATATAATTATGTCATTTCCCCCTTGCTCTCCTCCCTCCATCCCCTCCCCACACACACTCCCTCTCAAATTCATGACCTCTTTTTTAATTATTATTGTTATATATGTGTGCATGAATAAATACATAAATACAACCCTACTGAATCTGTTCAGTGTTGTTTATGTGTATATCCTTTAAGAGCTGACTACTTGGTATTGGATAGCCACTTAGGAGGCTCATTCCTAAGGAACACTAATTCACTAATTCACTAATTCTCTTCTCTCTCTCTCTCTCTCTCTCTCTCTCTCTCTCTCTCTCTCTCTCTCTTCATCTAGGAGTGGAGCCCTGTGAGATTCTCCCCATCTGTGTTGTCTGTCAACTGGTTTTTGTCACTGTTCAGGTCTTGTTTAGGCAGCCATATTATTGAGATGTCATAGGTGTAGCTTCCCTGTCATATTTACAGGACCAATCTTGCTGAACAAAGCACCACTGTGTACATTGTGTATGTGTGTTTGTGTGGGCGTGTATTCACGTTTTATTTTTCTGTTGGTGTTGTCTAAACTGGTTACATTTCTTAACTATTGTGAACTGGTTACATTTCTTAACTATTGTGAGTGATGCAGAAATAAATTAGAATTGGCAATTATCTTCAATGTGCTGACTTTGATCTCTATGAATATTCACCCAGGGATGTTACAGGAGAGGCATGGCAGCATTCACAACAGCAAGAGTGGGTGTTAGCAGCTCCTTTCTGACATCACTGCTGACCCTGAAGCACGCAAAGCCAAGGTTCCACAGTCAACTTCAAAGTCCTGCCTACTCCCACCAGTCAGGTCCTTCTGACTAACGGGTCCATAATCTGATAAAATGCTACCACCCAGGGAACAAGAGTTCAAACCTTAAGTCTGTGGAGGACATTTCAAGGCCCCACAGTCAGGCAGGGGTAATGCAATCTCTCTCTATTCCATACACTTCTCCAAAGGCCTCTCAACACTGGCTTTCTTTAGGGTTTTATGGAGTAATTCAGGGAGATACTGGCTGTTCCTTGACCTGGTGGGACTCTGCAACAACATTGTCCAACCACCTCTCCCAGGGCCCCTGCCTTGGCCCCCCTGCACAAGACTCTGGTTGCCAATGCCCCTCAGCTGCCAGGACATCTTCTATATGGGTAAATAGAGCTGCAAACCCCCAGGCCCACCTGGCCTCTATGGCATCCCTTGAGCCCTTAGGAAACACAGTCCTGCCACACCAAATGGTTAAGGTGCCTGTTTGATAACCTCTGTGTCACCTCTCACAGCTAACACAGGCTGATCCCATTTTCCACTGGACAAGAACTGGGATCCATTTACCTGTGAGGAAAACTGAACTCCGAGAAATTCAGCACTGCGAGGCTGGACCAGCTGATGGCATCATTATGGACATTATGATCTCCCACCCAGTAAGTCAGTGACACCCTGACAAATTGCTCAGGAATGAGACCTGTGAGACCACCTGTAAATGTCTACAAGGAAACAGGAACATTGTACAAGGCATCCATGTACAAGCAAAGAAGCCATGGCAGGCAGCAGGAGAAATCCAGCTTCAGCTTTAACTTGGTTACCTAAAGACCAAGGGAGGCATTTCTGTGTCAGTTAGATACCACTGGGCCATAGCAGATGAATTCAGGTCTATAGAGTTCTATACAATCTCCAAAGAGCTGGGAATGGTGTACATACCTGTTATTCCAAGCATCTTCAGCACAGAGTTCTTGAATAGATGGATTCTCATTAACTGACTCATGTCATGAACCAGATGTTGTGTGTTAAATAAGAAATGTCCCCACACACAACAAGAAAACCCACAGAATTAACTAATCTGGGCTCATAGGAGCTCACAGAGCCAGCAAAGGACTGACCCTACATATATGTGACAGTTATGCAGGTTGGTCTTCTTGAAGGACTCCTAACAGTGGGAGCAGGGGCTGTTCTAACTTTTTATTTGTTTGTTTGTTTATTGGTTCTGCTTTTTAGAGATGGGGTTTCTCTATGTAACAACAGTCTTGGCTGTTCTGGAACTCAATTTGTAGACCAGGCTAGCCTCAAACTCTGCCTGCCTCTGCCTCCCAAGTGTTGGGATTAAAGGCGTGTGCCACCACTGCCTGGCCTTGTCTCTAACTCTTTCTTTAGCTGACTTTGGGAACCTAGTTCTCATGCTGGGCTGCCTTGCCCAGCCTTGATACAAGGAGAGGTTCTTAGTCACACCACAGCTTGATACGCCATGTTTTGTTGATGTCCATGAGAGGCCTGACCTTTTCTGAGCAGAAATGGGGGAGGAGTGGATTGTAGTGAGATATCCAACTCTGCACTTAGGCGTGGTCAGTGACAGGTGCGGGCGGGGTGGATATCCCACTCAGTGGGTTCAGGGGGACAGAGGGGATATGGGAGAGGATACAGAGTATATGAGGTTGGGATGTAAAATAAATAAATTCAATTAAAAACATTTTTAAAAAAGAAAGAAATGTCCCCTATAGACTCAGGTGTTTGAACACTTGGTCCCCCAGTTGGGGGTGCTGTTTGAAGAAGCTATGAAACCTACAGAGGTGCAGCCTTGCTGGAGGACGCATATCTCTAGGGGTAGGACTGGGGGATTTATAGCCTTTCCCTACTTCCTGCTTGTGCTCGTGGCTTCCTGTGTGCAGCTAAAATGTAACCTCTCAACTTTGAGCTCCCGCTACCATATACCCCCTGGTATTGTGGATATCTATCTAGCCTTCTGGAATCCTAAGGGAAATAAACTTTGTTTAAGTTGCTTTTGATCATGGTATTTTATCATAGTAACAGAAAAGTAACTAATATAACATCTCGTGAGCCAATCCACAAATGCAACAGAATTATGTTGGATTATACCTAATCTTATCCAACCTAGAGCTCAGGAGAGATGACTCTCACCCAAACCATGTGAGTCAAAGGGAGAGAGCAAGCCTCCAGTGCCCCTTAAGGAGGACGACTGAAGCAGGTGTCCAAGGCAGCCTTCTAACCCTGGCTCTCAAGTCTCCATGGAGGATGTAATTTATCTAGTTAACAGACGGAGTAGATCAGTCCCAGGGGCTGTCATGAGGTACACGTAAAACTGAAAAATGCCAGAGGGAAAAGAAACAGAGATCTTCTCATCCTCCTCCCTCA